TCCGACCGGAGACATCCACTCGAAGGGACTAGGGGTGAATGGAGAAGGCAGCGCACAAGTCAAACCACGATACCAGGGCCATACTGTGCGCCTATGGGAACAGTACTCCACAACCGCTCTGACGCAAACAGTATTGTAGGCGCCGACATTTGTGCCTACAGTATTGTAGGCGCCATTGCGCTCCCATACGGTGAAAAGCCTCCCATGCCTCTGGGCATCGGTAGTGGGCGCCAGGGTTCACCATACCTGGTACACATGGTGGGGCTCTTCACATACCAATAGTATTTTGTAGGTACCGATGTTCTCCCTTCCTGAAGAAGCCAACACAACCTCCCATGTGCATCTAACATCCCACAGTGACGTCAACAATTTTGTTGGCGCCTACCATCGGCTGTCCTCATCGGCATGGGCAACAACTTAGTAACATCCATACTCTCCCTCTCTCACCTGTAAAGTCATCCCCTTCATCTATAAAAGGGGATGCGCTCTCTCCAACAAAAGGGATCGAATTACCAGAGGACGATTCTTCTTCAAGCTTAGATTCACTAGATCGATAACTCACAACCCCTCAAGCACACGCTTGAGCACCTAGCTCATAGCGGAGTTCCGGTCGCCCTCGGCCCTTCCGGTTGGACCTGACCGGGCCTCTCGTACACCCCTCATTTCTCCTTGTTTGTAACCCCACTATAGACTTCAAGCACCTAGGCTCAGGAATGAAGTCACCGACCGACCCAGACTGGACGTAGGGCACGTTGCCTGAATCAGTATATATCCTATGTCATTGAGTGCTAGGCCACCTCCGATCACAACATACAGCAAAACTATAAATATTCACTAGTTGGTCACTTTTTGTACCAACACATGCTCTTGTGGATGAATTCATATGGCTGATATTTTGATATCGCCCTTAGTGTAAAAATATATCCGATGAATGCTTGCGACCATCGTGCTATTAGAAAGCCCCCATGGAATTTACTTTGATGGCCTTAAGGCCGGGGGGGATGATATATGCATTTTGATTTACTTCATGGATGTGACAATATGATTAGTTGGCTTGCAAATAAGGCCAAGGTGTTGGCATAATCATTATTTCTCACAATTGTGCTATTGGAGACATCAAGCCGATTAAAATTATATCTGCACCAACATTTGAGTCGAATGTGAAGTTTTCTTATTCGGCTTGGCCATATTGCAATCCATGGGGTATAACATGTTGAAGCCTATGATGATTCCTTGCTGGTGGTACAACAAGTTGCTAGTGAATTCTAATGTTTAGAAGGGTCACTAAGAACTTGTCTTGATGCTTGCCTTGATATTATTGACTATTTTGTCGAATTCCAAATTCGGCATATTCCGATGCATGAAAATCAAAAGGCCAACATGTTAGCTCAACAAGCATCTGGCTATGATGTCAGTGGACATAATTTCCATATTCAAGAACAGCCGATGCATAAAGATTTCAATTTTTCCTATGTAGGTACAGACCAGTCGACTAAACCGACTACTCTTCTGCTGTGTGGCCAAGTCGGCTAAGTCGACTGCCCTAGTCACCAAGCCGACACCTCCAAATCGGCTAAGCCTACCGGCCCAGTTGGTTCAGCCGACTCCCCTGTGACCGGCCCGGTCAATTCGCCTGAGAAGCTATCAAATCGGCCCGATATAACTTCTAGTGATGTTGGGGCCGATTTAGAAGATTGGAGGACTCCCTTGTTGAGATATCTATGTGATCCAAGTGCCAAAGTTGATAAAAGTGTTTGGCGGAGCGCTTTCAAATATGTATTGCATAATGATGAGGTCTATCGAAGAACCGCCGAAGATTTGCTGCTTAAGTGCTTGGGATCAGATCAGGAAAGAGTGGCTATGGGAGAAGTCCATGAAGGCATATGTGGTACGCATCAATCGGCCCCGAAGATGAAGTGGTTATTGCGTAGAGCCGGTTTCTATTGGCCTACTATGATGGCCGATTGTTTTCGCTACTATAAAGGTTGCGAAGAGTGCCAGAAGTTTGGAAATATTCAGCTTGTGCCTGCTGCTGTGCTTCATCCTATCATCAAACCATGGCCTTTTCGTGGTTGGGGGTTATACTTCATTGGCCAAATATATCCCCCATCTTCGAAGGGACACCGATTTATGTTAGTTGCTACAGATTACTTTACTAAGTGGATCGAGGGAGTTCCTTTGAAGAATATGACACACAAGGAAGTAATTGAGTTCATTACTAAGCATATTATTCATAGATTCGGCATCCCTCAAACATTAACTACAGATCAAGGGACATCGTTTGTGTCTAAAGAGGTGAGGGAATTTGCCGAATTATATAAGATCAAGTTACTCAATCCATCTCCATACTATGCTCAAGCCAATGGCCAAGCTGAGTCTAGTAATAAGACTTTGATCAAGCTCATCAAAAAAGAAAATTGAGGAGAATCCAAGGAGATGGCATGAAGTTTTGTCTGATGCTCTATGGGCACATCGCATTTTAAGGTATGGTGCTACAAAGGTTACTCCTTTTGAGTTAGTATATGGCCAAGAGACCGTGTTGCCGGTCGAAGTGAATTTGGATACATACAGACTTGCTAAACAAAATGATTTATCAGCTGTTGTGTATCATGATTTGATGATGGATAATATCGATGACGTGACTGATGTGAGATTAAAAGCTCTTAAGGAAATAGAGAAAGCTAAAGCTCGAGTTGCCAAAGCATACAACAAGAAAGTCAGGAGCAAATCCTTCCAAGTGGGAGAATTAGTGTGGAAAACCATACTACCAATTGGATCGAAGAGCAATCAGTTTGGCAAGTGGTCACCGAATTGGGAAGGTCCTTACAAAGTGGTCAAAGTTATATTCGGAAATTCATATGTGCTAGAGACATTGCAAGGTGAACGTCTCATGAGAGCATTCAACGGGAGGTACTTGAAAAGGTATTTTCTAAGTGTTTGGCAACAATCCTAAGTGCTCACCAAACAATGGCCGATACATGTATCGCCCTTAGAAAAATGGCCGATGTATATATCGTCCTTAGCCACTGAGCAGCCGATGAGATGGGAATCGTCGCTGTTTGGTTTTAATTTATTTGATTAAGTGTTTTCAGGTTTATGCATCATTCACCTAAAAACAGGGGGGCATATGTTGACAACAAAAAATGTTCATTTTTGTGAAGTTGTCAGAATGTGAAACGGACTTCACCATTACATTCCTCTCGTCGAGATGGTCAAAAAACATATATGGAATGTCTAATTCGGAGTCCGGATGAAGAAGTTATGCCCTCGGAAAGATGCCTCGTTGTCGGGAGTTCCAACCTAAGTCGAGACTTCGACTGTCGGAAGTTCCGACGTGTGTCGGGACTTCCGGGAAGCCTGAAGAAATCTGTTCGGGTGTCTGGGATTATCCCTACGTCGGGAGTTCCGACAAAAGTCGGAAGTTCCGACTGTCGGCAGTTCCGACCCAAGTCGGGACTTCCGACGCAAGTCAGGACTTTCGACTGGACTTCCGACATACCTGACAGAAAATCCTATTCGGATCTGGCCTTTTGGATTCTGATCCGAACTGTTCCAAACTCGTGGGAAACTTAGAAAATAAGGCTTGGAGAGGTTTCCTACCGGGATAAGACCACCCCCTCTATATATATGAGAGGATCATGGCCGATTGAGTTCTCATCTATCCAATCGTAAAACAAATCAATCTACTACCTCTACTCCAACCCTTTTGCCCTCTTCTCCAATCCCCATGCTGTTCATCCCTTGATCCGACGACCAAGGATGGCGCCCTAGGCTTGCCGGCCGACCTAGGGCAACCTGACGACGTCCTTGCCCTGACGGGGTCCCTCCCGGGCGAGAGCTTCGACGGTTTCTTTGCTAATTTGCCTAAAACTAGCCGGTTCTTCGTCACGTAAGCACGTTGGTTATCTTTTGGTTGTTTGCTTGTAAACCTCTCCGTTCTTTACCACGAAAGAGTGATATCCTCGCTGCGTTCTTTGGTCCGTAGTGGCCCGGACGTCCAATGCCCCTGCTGTGTCTAACAGGTGGATTGTAGAAGAGAGTTAACTTGACGTGGGTTGAATTGAGTAGGTGAGCCTGGAACCATTTGCAGGCTTCACTACGATAAGAAAGAGAGCAGGTGGCAAACTTTCACGATCAAGCATTAGAATACCATGGGGAGCAGCAGCAACAACATCAGAACCGGTGGATCATGCTAGGGGGTGTTTGGTTAGGTCCCTAAAATTCATTAAACTTTAGTCACTAAAAAGCCAAACACCCCACTAAAGTTTAGGGCCTTTAGTCATAAAGGGGTAGCTAAAAGTGACTAAAGTGTACATATGATAGCTACTTTAGTGGTCTTTAGTCATTATAACCAAACAAGTGGTCACTAAACTTTACAAAGGGTCACTAAACTTTAATGGGTCAAAAGGAACCAAACATGCCCTTAATATCCCATTCACATTTAATAACTACATATGTTATCCCCAAATGTTAATAAGCCCCGAGCCACAGGTGGTGGCGGCGACGCGGTTGTGCTGCACTGCTGGCCGTGCGGGATGTCGGCTAGTTGCCTCCGAACGAACCACTCAACAATGCGTGGCGTTTGTGTAGCACAGCGTACACGCACACCTGCCGGCCGATCGACGATATTGCTGGGTTCGTGGTCCGGGTCCTGGCACGCACTAAACTAGGCTCGTCGCGAGCTGTAAAGCTTGCTCATGTCGATGTACCCCATCTGCAGAGATTAAACTCAGCCATGCTACATGGACGCGTGATTATGGCATCTACGGACGAGCACATTTATTTTGCAGAAAGAGGGAATATATATGTGCCAGACTAGTGCTGACTTGATCGATCAGCGGATATCATTGTTTTGCAGCCGTCACTACCCGTTTTGTGTACACACATGGTGCATGCGCTGATAAGGGACGAAAACTGATAATATCTGGGGGTGGTGGACACTTCGCGCATGCATCGCAATTCATTCACAGCTCTGTCTGTCTATAAATACGTGGCATTTGCTAGCTGCCATACCATACTCGAAGAAGCATATCCCACCAAGAGCACTGCTCGAAACAAGAACTAGCATCATCAGCTGCTGCTCTTCGCCACCACCGTACCACCAAGCGTGCAAATAATGGCCACCAAGGAAGCCACCGCCACCACGGCGCTCCCTCGCCGTGACCCTGCTGCTCTCCTCCCCGGCCGCCGTATTCGTCCGCGCGCAGCAGCGGGGCAACCCGTGCCCGACGAACGCGGTGGCGGACCTCAAAGTGTGCGCCGACGTGCTGGTCCTGCTCAAGCTCAAGATCAACGTGCCGCAGAACCAGCAGTGCTGCCCGTTGCTGGGCAACCTCGTCAACCTCGACCTGGCCGCCTGCCTGTGCGCCTCCATCAGGCTCAGCGTGCTCGGCATCCCCGTCAACCTCCCGCTCGACGTGCCCCTCGTGCTCAACTACTGCGGCCGGAACGCGTCGGCCGTGCCGGGATCCAATTGTTCCTTCTGAGTGTCCATGATTCATGGCTTCATGTTATGATGAATAAAGTGTTTCTAATGAGCTTACTGGACATGGCAAAGCCAAAGAGGATCGGGGGTCATTGCTGTTTCTGAATGTTTCCAACCATCCAGCTTCTGTTTTACATGTAACCATCTTTGGTCAACTGTTTCTTTATGCCATTGATAAGTCATTATATTCGTGGTTATATTTTGCTTGGGCTTATCTAGGGCGGAGGACTCAAGTTTGAATTGAATCTCTTATTCTACACCTGATGAGGCCCATAACAAAGAGAATAGTGGATACTTCCCAAATACGTACTCCAACAAATAGAGTACACTAGGGAGGATCCGAGCGTCCATGTAAAAACTCTTTTGACATCTTAGGGCGTCACTAAGGCGTGTTATATTGAACATTTCTCCATCTTAATACAAAAACAAGCAGACCTTCTGCGTGATCAAGAAAAAAAACAAATAGAGTTTGTTCTTACCACATCCTACATACTTGAGGTTTCATCGTCTTTTCGTTGTTACCCTCAACATGTTGATCTTGCTTAATTGGTCCCTTAAAGTCTATTAGATACTTGAACTCAAAGAAACGGTTCAATTTACGACTTGTATTTTCATTAAAATGTGAAAAGCGGTGCCATTCATACAATACATGCATAGGTCGATACTAATGGAATATTGTAATAAGCACAGTCTATATCTATACCTTTATATACATGTTCTTCCTTCCATTTCTCACTCTGTGTCTCGGTTAATCATCTTTTACTCTTTTTCGTTTTAGTTTGAAGTTGCAAGACCTTTATTGGCACCAATTCACTCATTTCATGGTCTGATCGCCTGAGCTCGCATGAGTTGTGGTGCGCAAGCAGACATATGGCCCATCTTCCACATTTCTTAAACTCGTAGTAGGTGCGCACAATAGCCACTCATTTAAATTGAAAAAAATTTACATAGGAGATTAATCATTTATTGCACTAGAATTTATTATGAGCTTTAAAACTTATTTGATGTAAGGTTGCACCAAGCAAAATTAGATCCAACAAAAATTACCAACTCATTATCATTGACATCCGCAGAAACATTTTACGTCACGCTGCAATATACGAACATGTTTCCTCCACTTCCCCGAGCATATATTGTCCCGGCTGGTTTTACTAAGAGTAGTGGTAAGTGATGAATTAAGACAAATCTTGTTTAGTTTACTATCCGTCTGTGACTCAAACATAAGATCCGTGCTCATACAAGTTAGAAAACGTACATCTAATTTTAGTTGTACATTTCGTTGCAACACACAAGCGTATTTATTAGTAGTTAGTATATAGATAAGAAGAACATAGTCATCTTACTGTTCACGAAATGAATTCAGGTATCAAACATCCCTATATATAAACTACTACTAGAAGAAGATAAATTGATGGGTTTGGTTATCCATTGTTTATTTTGCAAGTCGCCCCTCAAAAGCCTGGAACGCACCAAGCCATGCCCCGAAAAATAACAGAGACCCGATGTGGCCGACAACACTAGCGCACGCGCCGCCCTACATACACTGGCCGTCCGTTGCACACCGCGGACCGCGCACGCCACCACCGCCTCGGCGCATCAACTCCAAGCTCAAAGGATGACAGCATTAGCCGAGTCGATCGCGTCCGTCGCTGAACGAGACCAGCCGTAGCAGCAGCCTAGCAGCGCCATCGAAAATCCGGAGGCCAGGCCACCTCGCACGTCAGGACAATTATGTTTTCTCTTTTTTCTTTCTTATTTAGGAAAAAAAAGGCCGATGTACGTTACCCGTTCGGCCGAGCACGAGGACTGGCATGTGGCATACACAACCCAATCCGCGCGATCGCCTCCGCTGTTGCGGTCGTGGAGGCGAAATCATGCACGGGCCAGGGCGCCAGGCATATACGCGACGGCGACTCCAAGACCTGATGATGCAACGCGCGCGCTAGGCGTCACGGGATGACGGGAGTAAGTAACGGGGTGTCCGCGAGTCGCGGGGAGCGAGCGTGGCTGCGTGGGCCTTCGCCCCGCCACGTCTGCAGCTGGGCCGCCCCGGGCTTGGTGCCTCGGTAGTCTCGCCCTGGTAGGCCTTTGCATTGCAGTATGCCCTGAGTTAGCCACCCATTTCCTGGGCCAGGACGCGTGCTCCGTGATCGAACTCAACTCCGCCCATCTGATTCCTAGATACCAAATGTTCACGGGACTTCCACACGTTGGAGCAGATGAGCGTGTCCGGACGTCCCGTGCATGCTGCTGCGCAGGTCCGTTTGTCCACGCCTGCCGCTGTGTCGTACCGCACGTTCGTCCCCCGTCCGTCTCGCCTCGCCCCGCATATGCACCCTAGCTACGCCGCCACTCCTTCCCCTTAACCCCCCTCTCTTGGCGCGGGCGGGACCTGGGAGCCCGGATGAGGGCCCCGTCCATTTGCCAGCCCGCAGCTCGCCACGCCCTTCCCCTAGCGTCCGGGCCATGCCCCATGACTCTCTGAGCATACCTCTAAAACACGAAACACTTGAATGCAATATAAATCTGAAGTAGATGAAATATTTAGAATATACACTTGCAACATATCTGTGAAACATATGCAACATCTAGATAAAACACTTGCAACATTAAAAGCCCTAGTTTGAGTTTTGGATAATTGATAAAACCTATGCACTAACCTTTGTCATGAGATATAATATGAGGTAGGTTGGTGCAATCCAAGTGAGGAGCATGGTGGCACTCAAATGGTGATGTTGATCACATGAAATGATGAAAATGGTCACATGTGATGATGATCAAGTGCTCAACTTGAAAAAGAAGAAAGAGAAAAACAAAATCCTATGAAGCTCAAGGCAAAGGTATAAATAGGGGTTTCATTTCGGTGATCAAGACACTATAGAGAGTGTGATCAGGTTTAGGGTACATGACCGTACTATTAAGAGGGGTTCTTAACTAGACAATTTGGTCATCTAGTGCCCCTAGGTGTTGGACTTCATGCATTGCATTTAGGCCTAGTGCACATCGAAGAGCAAGCAAAAATATTTATAAAAAATGATTTGAGAAACGCTAACTTAACTCTAACATGTTTTAAGAAAACACTTTGAGGGTTAGCAACGCTTTTCAAAGGAGTGTTAGACTGCTTATGGATCGAATTGAGAATAAAAAATGCAGCTAACGGAGGAGTTTGTCTCGGGGTGGTCACCGCCATGGGTGCGGCGGTGCACCGCCCTAGCCTGTCCAGTGACCAACTAGACGTGGCCGAGAGCAGCAGCTTCAGGGTGGTCACCGCCCCTACCGGTGTACACCGCCACTGGCATGGCGGTGCACCGCCGTAGGGTGTCCGGTGCCACCGCCCCTTTTTCGGCAGAGAGCAGAGGCAACCGAGGGGGCACCATCATGGTCACCGCCATGATGACGGCGGTGTACCGCCCTATTTTTCCAGAGAGAACCGGTTTCGGGGACTTGGCTGGGGTGGTCACCGCCACCCCAGTGGCGGTTCCACCGCCGCCTGTCCGGTGACCACCTGACCAGTCAACTAGCCGTTGGATTCGACCGTTGGGGGCGGTGCCACCACCACCGTGTCCAGTGCCCTCGCAGAGGCTGGCTCCAAAGGGTAACGGCTTCATTTGCTTGTGTGGCTATAAATAGAGGGTGTGGCCGGCCTTGGCCACCCTCTTGGCACCTCATACACTTGTGCACACCTTTTGGAAGCTGAGCAACACACTCCACTCACTTGTTCACTTGATTTCATCATCTTGAGTGAGTTTGGAGAGCCTCTAGTGCATTGCATTGGGTTGCATCATCTTATGATACTAGTTGGGTGATTTGGGCTGGTTGTAAGCTTGTTACTCTTGGTGTTTGCTGACACCTAGACGGCCTGGTGATTGGAGGATCGTTGAGCGGAGTTGGTGATTGTCTCCGACTCTGATCGGTTGATTGTGAGGGGTCTTATGCCTTCCCCGACGGAGCGCCAAAGGCAACTCTAATACATTACTCGTGTTATTGAGCTAACTCACTTGTGGGTAGGTTCTTGTGGTGTCCAATTGTGTGGACGAGGTTCGTGCAACACCTCTTAGCCGCCGAACAACCAAGTGTTGGTCAACACAACGGGGACTAGTGTGTCGGCAAGCACGTGAACCTTGGGAGAAAAATCGTGTGTCCATCTTTTTATTGATTGGATTTCTCTCGGTGATTGGATTGACTATATTGTGATTGGTTTATTCCTCGACATGGTGGTATAATCACCCTACTCACTCCTTATATTCTTGCAAACTAGTTGTCAAGCTCTTTAGTGTAGTTAGTTTTTGAGAGCTTGCTAGTTGTGGTTAGTGTGGCTCTTTAGTTAGTCTTTGAGAGCACACTAACTTAGTGAGTAGTGACATAGCTTTTGTGTGGTTAGAGATCATAGCAACTAGAATTATTAGATAGGTGGTTTGCAACCCTTGTAGAGCTAGAGCAAAATTGTATTACGTCGTTTGTTGTACTAATCAATTACTCTAGTGCTTTATAGAAAATTTAAATAGGCTATTCACCCCCTCTAGCCATATTAAGACCTTTCAAACATGAAAATACTTACTGCTTAGAACATACTCTAACATATGTGTGAAACAAATGTAATACCCAGATCAAAACGCTTGCAACATACGTTTGAAAAACAGATAAAACACTATGAACAAACACTTACAACATGTCTCTGAAACACTTGCAGTGTATGCAACATCCCAGTCTACTTTTACAATATCCATATGAAACACTTGCAATATATCTTTAAAACATCTAAAACACTTGAAACATATGTCGCGCTTTCAGCGCAATATCTCCTTGTTGCTTGGGAATGGAGGTTCGTTGGTGCATGGAGTTCACTGGTGTAGAGATCACTGGCGGCGCGGGGCTCGCTGCTCCAATGGAGAAGGCCACGATAGGTCCCATGGAGAAGGCTATGGTGGGTCCGTGTGCTCGAGAAACCCGCGCCAAGCTGGAGGCGTGGTGGAGAGGGAGGAAGACGGGTTGTGCTACTCTGGAGTGAGGCGCGGTTGTTTACACTAAAATTTGGGAAGAAGAACGCGGGAATTCGAAGCTTCTAGGATTGTGTCATCAAGGAATCGATTAGATGTGAATCGGTATTAACTGATTTAGATGTGATGTCAGAATTGACTATTTTATAGATGACGTCAGCAGACATCGTCAATGGACTATGCTTGAATGGCGCCAGAAAGATGTGTCAGACTCTTCAAATAAGAAAAATTAAGGTCCAAGTTATTATTAAGTTAGAAAGTTTTCTTTTATTTAAAAAATTATAATGAGTCGTATTTGGGTAGAATTCATATTTAGGTTCCGGATATAAATATTAGACCCTAATTATTGTAAAGGGGACGAACACTCAATCAATACAATCTTTTCGGCTTTCACCATCGCATTAGGAGTATGAGTACTGTAGATCTCGGTGAGTTCTTCAGCAAACAGGGCTGCATCGACTGATCGACCTCCAGCTTGCTTGTGAGTACCGTCACGACTTGTATTGTGCTTGTAAAGCTGCATCAACTGATTGATCTTTTATAAGTCATAATATAAGTTAGTTATCGATCTGTATCGTAGTTTGTAAGGCTGCATCAGCTAATTAATCTCTTACGAATCATAATATAGATCTAAGTTATCGATCTTGTGTTAAATAACTTGTTGTTTAATACACTATCACCAGTTATTGAATCTGTTAAGACTAGTAAGATTTTTCTTGCTGTTTTTGGTTGATTCACCAGTTATCGGCCTTGTTATAATTAATGTTTTATTAATTATAATAAATCACCTGATTGAGATTGAGATAGATCAGCATCATATCATCTTAATTGGCCGTTCTTTGATCTGGTCACGCTTTAAATCTTATAATTGATGACTTAATTCCGCTAGATCGGCTGTTTTATGTCTATTCTAATCAAACATAGTATGCATATAAAGGTATTTTTCAATCTTGAATAAACCCACTAGTTAATGAGATGTAATCTAATAACACTACCATATTTGCATCGATCCGGTCGTACCTCACTGGTAAGACTTTATATTAGAAATTATCGATTAGTGGTCTTGTTTATGATTAAGATATGTACTCTGTTTGTTTGCTATGACTGCATCGGCTATTTTAGCTGATTTGCCTATACTCTCACGTATATAGCATGTTTTCATAAATCTGTCAACATATAGATGGTTTTATAAATTCTTTGGTTTTAGTTTGTTATCATTATCATAGCTGCATCGATCCGATCGAACCTCACTGTTGATGATAATAGATTAGATTCAAACTGTTTGTAGATTCATTTATATTTGACAGTCGATTTGTTCGCATGTTATACTCTTTTCATCAAACTTAGCGGCTCGATGTTTTATATTGATCATATTCCATTTAGCCGATGATGCTTTCTTATATACCTTCTTTGCTAATTATCAATTCTCTAATCGATCAATGATATCAATCGACCATTTGGTTATATATATTGGAATTTTAAGAAAAGATCTTTTGATTTTGTATTTGGGTGTATTGTACTTGTTTTTGTCTAGATTAATCAGTCATCATAAATCTGCTATGATCCATGAGCATCGGTTATTTTGATTCATATCATTATCATTTAATATTAGTCGATAATTCTTGATTTAAAGATCTTCATTTCATGGATACGCCGGATATCGACTATTTAGTCGATAGCCTTATTGAATCGGCTATCTAGCCGTACATTTGGAACTGTCTAGTGCAAAACCGACATGTTCCACCTTAAATTACTGATAAGATTTTCTCTCCTTGTCAATTGCAGGTCAAATTGACTGGCACGCCGTTGGGTTTTCAGAATCGGCTGGTTCTGTGTTGAAGCCAAGCAGATCTTTGGTCTTGTTCCACTCAGATCTTCCGGCTTGCTGTGTGTGAATCACATCGTCACATTTTTGTGTTAACAACGGTGGAGAGGGAAGCGTGGTGAAGAGCGCTGTCGTCGAGGCAGCGCAGCGGAGCGCGGTCACAAAAAGTTGTCGCGGCGCTATGATGAGGTGAGTTTTTTTCTTTTTAAGAACGGTTGGGAGCGATTGAATGAGTAGATAAAATTCAGTTGTTAGGCTGCGTCACGGCCCGCTATCGACACCGTCCGAGCATTACCATCGATCATAAGAGTATATAAACTGTGCAGTAGGTGTATCCAATAGAATAAGTGACAAATACTAGTACCCCATCTCTGAAATATATAACAATCGAATTTTCTGACACGAATGACACTCCAAAACATCTCTGTGAAGAAGATTATTAGACAAGTAGCACCGCTACAAATTACAATGGTACTCTGTATACAGGCCTTTGCTGCTTGCCTACTCGTGCGGTTTCGACCTGTGAGTTTAGGATAGAGCCAGCGACGAGGACATGCTGCCGCCCTTGGACACGGCGACGTAGTTAAACGACGGCGCCGAGAGCCGCCTCGCGCCCTTGAAGAACTCGCCACACTGTCCCGCGCCCGCCGCCGACGAGCGTGGCCTGATGAACTCCGTTGCACTCGCACCACTGCTGCTGCTGCTGGTGGTTCCACTGGAGGACGCGCCGCTGCGCACGGACGGCGCGGAGGACGCGAACCTGCCTGCGTCGACCCGTTTCCGGTTCACGTTGCAGGGCTCGGCCGCCCTGCCGAAGCTGCTGCCGGGCCGCTTCAGGTGCGGCATCGCCTCCTTCTCGCTCAGCAGGGTGCGCAGCTTCTTCTGCTCCTGCGCCGTGCAAATCACCACTTTCAGGTTAATTATTCAGAATTCTTGTGAGTGCTGTTCTTTTGCATTTTCTCGCAGGTGTCAAACGATAGAATTGCAGCAATGTTTGTTGTTTACCCTGAGTCGCCTCCTCTCCTCTTCCTGCCTGATCCTGGCTTGCTTGTGCTCCTCCAAGACGGCAACCAAGCCTGCCTTGAAAACGGCAAGAAACAGATCAAATTCGTCAGTTGCTACGAGCACGACCACCGAATCATGTCGGCACAGCAGGAACTGGAAAAGTAGCATACCCCGTCGTACAGGAACGGCTTCTTTCTTTCGCTCTCCCATGCGAGTGTTCGACTGATCAGGTTGTCAACAACGGCTGCAGATTTACCAACAACGAATTGGTTTAAGCGAACTTCGTTCAGAGATGCAATCGGAATAACCAAGTAGTACTCCTTCCTTATCGCATTTGATCTTGTCCGAAATGTACCTGGAATCTTGGAGATGATGAGCCTTGCTTTCTCGGCGCGTTTCAAGTTGAGGCGTGCAATTCTGCCGGTACTGAATCTGTTCTCATCCTGAAACACCAGCAGTTTCCCTTGTCTTTATCTGTCTTACGCATTTGAAATCAGTGTTCAATCTATTGAAATGCACATTATTTTGGACCTACCATATTGTACTCCTCTAGCCATTTCTCTTCCTCGCACGCCAGCAGCCACTTGTTTATCTTCTCCATGATTTCTCTCCTGGACTGGAGCTCTTCCCTAGCTTTCGCTATCTGTTCGTCGATGCTGGCCATGAGCTCAGAAGGATTCACGAGGCCTGGTAAAGTTTTGTCAGCGTTAGAAATATCAACCTGTAATCTGAACCTTATCTCAGTATAAGTACAGTAAACAGGAACTCTGAACTCGTCGTACCAGAGTCGATCAGCGCAATGGATTTCTCCGGAACGGTGCTCGCATCAGGCTCCACATGCATGCTGCGGCAGATGTTCTCCAGCTCCAGCCGCCTCTTGAGCACGAGCTCCTTCATCCGGCCGGCCTTGAGCCTCGTCAGCCTCTCCACCTCCTCCTCCGTCTGTGCCACGCCGATGAAACGACCAACAGATCAAACACTAACTCTGCAACTGCAACTGCACCGATCGAGTCTGATGACAAGAGAGATCACTTCTGTACCTTCTTTATGGTCGCCACTGACAAGACGCCGGAGGACAGAGCATCAACTTTGTCGGGATTCAGAACGGCCGTGACCTTCCTGAAACCCCGCCGCCCCTCCTCCGACGAGTCCATCAGCTCCCACAGCTCCACCAGAGGCACCACTGCCTCTCGCAGCTGCAATGCAAAGCAGAACGATCACGTCGATCGATTAGCTACAGGCTACAGCCCATAGGAAGAAACAGGCAGGACTGCTGGTGGCTGTACGGTACGTACCATGGCTGCTCGCTTGGCCTTCTCGGAGGCGAGCATCGCGACGACCTGGGCGAGGCTGCTGAGCGTGCTGTCGCTGATGCTGGTGGGCTTGCCGGGGTCGGACGTCTCGTGCAGGTGCAGCCCCGGGTGGACCTCGTTCACGATGGCGACGAAGTCCTCGCCCAGCACGTCGCACAGCGAGTGCACCTCGGTCACGTGCTCCAGGACCCTGTGCAGCCGGTTGGACTGCAAGTTCCACGACAGTTGACGCGTCGTTATAAGTTCGAATCGTCAGTGTCGTGTTCCAAATCTGCTTTCTACGTCTACGTTGCAGGTGAAGGACGCATGCAGAGAGTTACGTGCTACTGGTCCACTAGTGCTACATCACTGGAGTAAGTACATGGCTAAGTCAAGTTCCTGAGATGTGAGGCACTGACGTGCTTCTTAAACCACTAGTATGAATGTATGATGCTACCAGGAAAGCGTCTGCGAATTGACTGACGAACCAATTGAACGACATGACCAAAAGAGAGTACGAGTACAACCTAAAACTGACTGACCTGTGACCTCCTACTGGCTGACAGGCCTGCCTTACCTAAGGTCAGACACTCAGAGCTAAGTGTTTCTGTTAACCAGTGATTTATGTTAAGCAGTCCCTGAATGAATCTGTTAATAAGTCAATTCGATTTTGGTCTCTGAAACTGTCCTTGTTGTTTCTCTCATTCCTGTACGAGTTCAGAAGTTTCAGAAACAGAACCAGGGAATGCGTCAGTTACCGTACCTTCTCTTTCTGGAGACTCGTGAGGCGCGCCTTGTACTCGTTCAGCCTCCTGATCGTCAGGTCGTGCTCTTCCACCACCTCTTTGGCCCTGGGGGAGCCCTCGTAGCCACCGTAGCTCCTCCCGGCGATCTCAGCGGTGATCTTTTCGATTTCTGACCGGATGTCAGCGAACTGCCGGCTCCGCTCTGCTTTCACCGCCCTCAGTTCTTCCAGCAGGGTCGTTGCTGACGACACCCGCTTGGTCAACGACATGGTCCATTTGTTTACCTGAAGGAGATCACGACGGCGTACCAGCCAATCGTTAGCTAAAATCCAGTGTTGTCTTACAACGTGTGCAATAGATTATTCGAACAAAAAGGTTTTCAAAATATGTAACTATTTTGCTGGTGATATACGTATTATATTTTGCATCCAAATTACTGTGGGGTCGGGAAAGAAGAAGGAAATGGAAAGGAGTTATACCTTGAGCTGAGGGCTGTTGTCGGATCCCAGCGCGGCGGTGAGCGCGGCGATCTCGGCCTCCCCCGCGGCGAGCGACTGGTGCAGCATGGCCCGCTCGCCGGTGGCCTCGTCGACCTTGCGGCGGTACACGCGCATGCACTCGGCCTCCAGCTCCCGCACCATCCGCTCCCGCTCCTCCCGGCTCTTCCCAATCTCCCCCCACAGTTGCTGCACGCACGCAAACGCAGCCACCACAACCGACGACACCATCATCATCCACGCGCTCAAGCCTCAAGCGTGCAACAACAAAAGGATGGAACGCTGAAAGAGCTAGCACGGCAACACTAAACTAATAATTCTCACCTTGAGCTCCACGAGCAGCGCGCCGCAGCCGCCAGTCTCGACGCCGCCGCCGCTGCCGTCCCCCGTCACCGACCGGATCAACGGCATGCTGTGTAGCAGCTCCGCGGCGGTGACGGCCTCTCCCATGGATTGTCGAGAGCTAGCAGTTCTGCGGCTGAGCAGCCTCGCGCGAACGAGAGGGGTTTAAGACGGGGGTTGTTGCTGGTACGACAGAGCAGCTCGGAGAGGGAGACGTGTATACGTCGTGTCAGGTTGGTTGGAGTCCGGTAGCGAAGGCATATATAGCGACCGAGCTAGCTAGCCGGCCGCGGGTCGTTGCCTTGCCTGCATGATTAGTTGGTCCCTCGCGAGCTCGCCGACGTCGCTGTCGGCCGCGCCGGTGAGCTAGCTATAGCACCGGTGCGGGTGATTGGTGGACGTGTGGTGTGGCCAGCCACGCCGCCGGCTGGTTGCATTGATTCCGTGTAGGCCCCTGTTCTGCGCCAAAGCCCAAAGGCAAAGGGGAGCAAAAGAAAGGAAGCCTCGCTAATAAAGCCAGGGTTTTGGTGGTCCTGCTGTTTCCTGTGTGTTTGGCATGTCTAATCCTGCAGTTAGCGCAGAACTATCATGCTCGGATTGTTAGGCCCCGTTCGCTGTTCTGAAACTTGGCTGGTTGTGTGAGAGGAAAACACTGTTGGCTGATTTGAAGAACAGTAAAATATGAGGAGGAGTAGCTGGCTGGTCTGGAACTTCCAGACCAGCGAACGACGCCTCAATCACGGACCGAAGTATTGTTATTTAGGCCTTGTTTAGTTCTTCTCCCTAAAATTTACTCCCTATATAACATCGGATGATTGGACACATGCATGGAGTATTAAATATAGACTAAAAAAATAACTAATTACATAGATTGCGACTAATTTACGAGGCGGATTTTTTAAGCCTAATTAGTCCATAATTTGACAATGTGCTACAGTACCCATGTGCTAATGACGGATTAATTAGATTTAATAAATTCGTCTCGCGGATTACCGATGACTTCTGTAATTTATTTTATTATTACTATCCGAACAGTCCTATATGATATCCCTAAACTTTACTCCACTGATTTAAACAACATCTTACTGTACTGGGGGCTGGGGCCGGCCAGAAAAGCACGCGTCTGACAAAAAGCTTGGGCAAAGTTTGCAGACCGAGTCAATAGTAGCATGCATTGCCATCGCGAAACAAAGAGACAAACAGAGATGATGCATTGGGTTCCGTTGGTTTCATCCATTTCTTTCATGTAGTATAGCATGCTGTATACATGTATGTACGGGCTGACTGAAATCTGTGTCCTCATGAGTCACAAGACGTCTTTTCTATATATGCACGTCCGGCCTAGCGGAAATACGTTGGGCCGTACTTTTCGTGCAGGGAGGAAACGCTGGCAATAATCAGCTACGCTATCTAAAAAGCTACCAGAAAGGTTGCCATCGGAGCATTGCATTCATACATGCCTATATATGTTTTTAATTAGATTATCATGACACGCCTATACACGTAGCTTGTATCACTTTGCATCTCTGATTGTTTGATTGATGATTAGGAAGGCCAGGCCCCGGCCGGCCCTCTCATTTCCACGAAGAGCTGTTGGTCTTAATCTGCACGCTTTAGGTTAAGCAAGCAAATCGAGCAGAGCATCTCGGGAGGGTCAACCACTACTAAAAATCGACCACACACCATATGCCCTGATTGGGAGTTGGGGCAGCGTGTGTTCCCAAGCTTTTGTTCCACAACATTGCCAGTGGTTGCAATTGCACTACTGCCCCGCAACTTGAATGATTTGGTCTTGCCCAGTGCCAAACTTCATGTATCCTTGCTAGCAACAAATTTACATACATATTCTTTTCTTAATCTTCTTTATTTGATTTGTCTCCAGCAGTTCAATAGAGTTCTGTGTGGACTCTGCATATGACGCAAACATTCCAACAGTCCATATCATAGAACACCGAGGAGGGCTGGAGGAGCACTTTAAAAATAAGCAAGCACCTAGGGAGTTCTGTGAGCGGGTCACATCATCAATCATCAGTCAAATATAAAAAGTAAAGGCATGGCGAGAAAACGACCTCTTAACAGGTTCATGAAACAGGAACTTGACAGTCGGTGGGCAGGAGGACCAGGAAGAGGAACCCAGATTTTATTTAGTTAAAAACAAACCGAAACACTGTTCCAGCGGTTAAAAAAACAAGTTGAAAAAAACGGATTATAAGAAAAACGATCAGGGCCTTTCTACGGATGTTTCTGCAGTGAAAAGTTATACTGCATACTGTACTATCCTGAGAGTACAGAGCAGGAGACTGCTGCTTCCTTAATCCACCGTAATTGGATTTGGGTGTTTGTGGGCAACAGAGGATGTCAGAATGAGCCGTCAGTTCCTTCCCAGTGGATGTACTGACAAATTGCGCCGGATTCCCTTCACTTCATGTGCCAGAATATCCGCGTGTGTGCAAGTGTACTCACGTTCGTCTCGCGTCAGAGCACGTGGATTCTTAAGACGGCATCATCTGCTACTCTGGATGCAGGCACGCAGGCCGCAGCCATGCCGAACTGCCAGAACAGGAAGTGAACATGTGCCGCCAAGACGTAAAGAGCAGAGGAGGGACCGTAACATTGACAACGAACCACCAAGTTGTTAACGGCTTGCCGGCCGCCAACAAGGCAAGCAGGAAGGCCAACGCGTGCGTGCGGGCTTGCACAGAACACTTGGACACCGGAATGCGTGATTTAGCTCCATGCCATGCAGTTGGCTCGGTGGAGAAGAACGAACAAGTCAACAAGGCAGGAAGGGCGACGGATCCCCAACTCTCCAATGCGTTAACAACTCGAACCAAGCTGCTATTAATTTTTCCGAGATCTCTCGTTCCGTTGGAACTGATAAAACCATTTGCCACTGTGGCATTGCTCGCGCGCCCTCAAGCTAAGCATTTTTGGGTTGCAATTGTTTTAAAAGAAAGTGCCAACTGTTCTTGCGTGCTGTTAGCAAAATGAGAATTTCATATGGTTTCCTTCCTGTCACGGTTGTAAAATGTATATATTATAGAAGTCACTCACAATAAGGCAGTTGGTAGAGGATTATGGGCGACATATAGTATATGGTGTAGGCAAGATATAAGGGATTGTGTCTTCCTCCCATATCCTACACACGCCCTACTGTCAGGTCAGGTGTATTTTGCCTAATGGCCCTGTTCGCTGCTCTTATAATTCGTCTTTTTCTGCTTATTTTTTCAGTCGGAACAGTGTTTTTCTCTCACAACAAATCAGCCGAAACAGTATTTTGACTTATTTTTTCGGCGAAGCAAATAGGGCCAACCTAGTCAATCATGGACGCGCTAATAATAACAAGACGGTAGATGCAGGCGTTATCCAGATTGGAATTGGATGCGCACAAGCCAAACCAGCAGGCAGCAGCAGCCTTGCCTGTACTTTGGGCCGGCCCGGCCAAGAACAATAATTCATGGCACCAACCATGTTTCTTCCCAACCTCTCTTTCTTCTGTGTCACACTTTTCTTTGGCTGTTATCCCCTTTACAGTGATCCTAATTCTAAAAAGAATGGACGAGCAGCCCTGGATTACCGTAATGCGCTCTGAGCCTCTGATCCCTTGTTTGCATTGTATCCTATGATTGTATGCTTTATCTAAAAATACAGGCTTTAGTTAGACCTAATAAAGGTTAGTTCGTTGCAACTTTGCTGAGCACCCAATAATTGACATGACATTAGGTGGAGAATTGAAACAATTCTAAATTATCCTACCAAAATTGGACACTGTGGCAGGTTCGACAAAAAAACTACAGTATTTCTGGTCTTGTTTTCGAATGGAGCAAGCGATATGTTTGTTAATTCAAAAATCTTTGGAGCCCAGGATGGGCGCACAACTTCAACCATCTAGCAAAATAAATAAAAAGGGCGTACCCAGTGCAGAGAGCTCCCGCTCTGTGCGGGGTCTGGAGAAAGGTGTCAGTGGCAAGCCTTACCCTCGCCTGTGCAAGCGAGGAGACCGCGACTCGAACCCGGGACCTTCCGGTCACAGGCGGTAAGACACTACCGCTTGCACCAGGCCCACCCTTCATCTAGCAAAATAAATAATAAAAGCACTTATAATCTTGTACCTTATAATTCCCTTGGAATTTGACTAATATCCAGATGGAGTACAGTAGCACCATGGTTGTAGTCAGCTTTGCAGATATTGAAACTAACCAATCACATTGTGAATTACTGATAGACATGCGTTCAGGAAAGGACCCCAAAGAACAGTTACAATCCTTGCAAAAGTTATATTCATACACAGCAGCATGTCTTTCTTCAGGTTTTAGGGGATAAACCCAAGTAGTTCAAAGCAGCATTTGTTAAACTTTAATGCAATCATATTCATGTGGTAGCATACTATATAAGCTAATCAGTTCCTATCTGTCAAGAACAGTTAGTGGTTAAGCAATGTGCTATAAATTAGGCAATAAGCTAGCAAGATTCAATGAGAGTCGCTCACGGGCACGTGTGCAGCAAGGTGTGATGTGTATCTTGCTGCCAGAGGACACTACAGTTTTTTTCCCTCGAACAGGTATAAGAATTGTGTATCATTTCATTAATAATAGGTGGAAAAAGAACCCGCTTACAACCTTACACGTAGGAAGACATTGGAATTTTACAGTACCTTTTCAAACATTATTTAATAACAAAACTAACAATGTACTTCTCTATGTTCAAATATTTATTCATCTAAATTGGGTCTGACAAGTCTTGTAATTGGAGCATCATTATCATGTACAACATTACCATGAAAGTTTGTATGCCAATGCCAGGGGGGATATAAACAGGTAAACACCACACAACTGGGGCTAATGAAACAGTAGACAGCAGTCACAAGGAAAAGGAAAGGACTGGCCTGTATAGGTGCGAAACTTTGGTAGACAAAGACAAGTGAAGCAGAAAACCTGAAACAGAGCTATGGTTCCGAATGGCACGACATGCTCTTCAGTGAAAGGGCTGCAGCCCTGTACCAAGCAGCAGCAGCCATGGCCCCAGGATCAGGAGCCGATGCCAGCTTGTCAGCAGCAATGTAGGATGATCTACCAGCCTGAAATATGATTTTACGCCGTCAGTGCAAC